AAAGACAAATAGCTGGGTACAAGAACGTTCATTAAAGTTTATGAGCTTAGTAAACTTTGACGGACCTTGAGAATATGAACTGTCAGAATGACATAAAGTTCAAGTTATTCACAGTATATTGTCAAAGTTCATCAGGCTTGTTTAATCTTAGCGAACGTTCTTGTAACCGGCTGATAATCATTTAAAATTATGGGGAATAACTTAAGTAACCTTAATTCAAACACATGTTCAATTGAAAACAGTATGTTTGAGCTATTTTATAAACCACATGAACTGTTTTGATAGGGGAAGCACTGCTAAAGTTTTCAATTGTATAACCTAAAATTAACTACATAATAAACAATTCCTGAAAGAATTTGTTGAACTTCCTTGCACTAGTAATTTATCCTTTAAGAACTGTTCTGTTACTCCTATAAAAATCGCTAAATGTGTGTATTATTAAACAAAGATGTTAAATGTTTAGTAAGTTATGATAAAATTCACTTTCCATGACCCAAAAAATAGTTTATCATTGTGAGCAATCAAAACATGATAGTATACTTTTAGATAGAAAATAAACAAAATAGTAGATTAGAATTAATTAAAATAATTCTCTTGGCACAATAATTCTAGTTATGTAAATATTTTTTTATTTCTTAAAACGCGATTAAAAAAAATTTTTTTTTAATAAAAATATAACAAAATAATATTAAGAATATTTATTACTAAGAATGATTTGAGGTCCCATGCAATAGCCATATAATAGTTCAAAATTTCATAAAATAATTTCCTCAATTTAAACATAGCTTCCCCAGGCCGGGCATGTTCTTAAAAAACCACTACATTCCAAATGCACCAGTGTATTTAAACTTCACCTAACAAAACATATTTAAAAAATACATAGCTTCCATCCTAGCAACTGTCATCTCGTTTCAACACAATAGAAGCAAACATATTTCCGGTAGACAATATTTTATCTTTCAAGACGCAGCATCTTGCTTTGTCTTACCCTATGATCTCAACGAATACATCTACATGAGATAGGGTAGCTATGCGTAACGTCTCTTCAAACAATACATACCTTTTCTTCTGCGAGTCTGTCTCTGAGCTCAAGTAAGTTACACCAACATGTAGTGCATTATTCTGTCATGCTGCTCCTATCGACGCATGTCGGAGGTCGGCAAATTCATACCGTTTTATGTCGTTTCGTAAACAGTAATGTTAAAATGCATTTCAAATGCTGAGACTAAACGTGGCTTCCATATTATTTAGGTTCTGCGGGCCAATCAAGTTACTGATTGGATGAAAACCTGAACCACATATATAATATCAACTTCCTGACCTGATTAAATAAAACTCAAGATTTATTTTAGAATTCATGATAAAACTGAAAACCTGACAAACAACTGGCTTTAAAAGTGAAAAAAAAAAGAATCCTAAGTATACAGAAGAAAAAAATTAATTTACAAATGTCTTATAAATTCGGTTATAAGTGTGCTAACCTTAATGGTAAATAAATTAAAAACGAAAAGAAATCGTCTAAGTTGTTTTTATAAGTACTCAGTACTTTTTTACAATTTTTAATGTTATTTTATTAGGGATTTCCAATAGATCTACGATATCAAAAAATTGTTCTGAATTTGTGGAAAAAGGTCAATGGAAGCCTAAACCAAATAGTGTTTTGTGCTCCATTCATTTTAAGGACGAATTCAGCATCTTATTTATTTTACAGCCAATTCACAGATGTGCGGCGTTTTGTAGTTAACAATATTTAACACCTATATCAATATGAAATCGCTCATTTCCTCCTATATTTAATTATCACCATGTACAAATACATTTTTTTTGTAAATATTAATGATCCGCCTATATGTAATCCATAAAGCACTTAACTAAGGTTTTTAGTTATTGGGAATTTAGAAAAAGTGTCTTCCGAAAAAAAAGGTCAGTTCCGGGTTCATAGATGTTGGATGTTGCAGTAAATGTTTAATAAATATTAAATAACTTAAATATACTCATTTAAACTGATGATGGGGGTGGGTGGTTGACTGGTGCTTTTTGAGTAGGAAGGTTCCCTCTTCATACTACCGAAACGATTTGGGGCACTTTTTTTGACAATCACACATTTACAGTCATAATCTTTTATGAATAAAAATATTACAAAATTATAATACCTGTTGTTTTATTTTTATGTTATTTAAACTATTTTCTACACATTCCATTAAAATACCTTGGACCCAGTCTCACATGTTATCAGATAATTGCTATATTGTTTATTGTATTTTACCTATTTCACATTAAAGTTTTTATAATAATTCTCATTGCTATGAAATAATAATTTTTATTTGCAATATAAATTATAAATAGAAACACAAATTAGATCGCTTTGTAATTTGTAAATAATTCTTAGATTAATAAAATTAGGAGTTATGTGATTGTTAAAACGATTTTTTAAGAATCCACTTGAACGATGGTAAAATTTTATAAAAGCAATGTAGTTTGTTAATGCGAGTTTTCATAGTTTGGAAAGACTTCCACGGGAGACAATTCCAAAGTTGCAAATTAGGAAATATGAATAATCCTCAATTCCCCTTATGAAATTATTAAATATACACCCCCATATCACTAAATTGAAAACAAACCAAAGAAAAATTTAAAAAAATTAGGAATTAAAAGAAAAAAATGAGTGCATCGACCAGATGGAACCTTCAGACTGTACACGTCCGCGTATCTACGTGTTGGGCTACGTATGCACATTGCTTCGGCAGTCGAACTCATAGATTTGAAGTCAATCGATTGTCAAGAACATGTATTTTTGTAAATGTAACACTTAAATATACGTTTTTCAAAGGTATATAACTAGAATTTATTTTCTATAAGTTTAATAATTTAAAATAACTGATTAAAAAAATGCCTGCCTTTAAACCAAGCCATCAAATGGACTTTAAGAATTTAAGACCTAAAAGTAGATAAAAGTTTTATCTCGAGTTTTTTTAATACTTAATTCATTCTTTGAGCTACTATCTAATCCTTAATTGTAAACTATAAATATGAATATCTAAATATTTAAAGAAACTAGCGGTTGACAAAGGCTTCAATTCGCACTGCACCTTCACATCCTACATTGTAGTCAGTTCTAGTAGATAAAGATATACCTAACAACCTATGCACTTTTTACAAACTAAAAGTCAATAAAACAATCAAAAAGTTTATATTAATCAATAAAAGGCGCATAAGAAAGAGGATTTTAAAAAAGTTCCAGATCATAATGATTATTTGCCTTTTCCTCAAAACTTATCTTTTGCTACATAAGACATCAACTTACAATTTGTGTTTCGTTGATAAATTTGTGTAATTTTTGACTTCAGTCACTTATTTTTAAAAGCTGCTAAACGTAATAATAATTCCTATTTCAAATAAAGGCCCTCTTAAGCAATAGTTGGAATTGAACAGGAATTGTTGGAATTTTCACTGGTATTGTTATTGGAATTAGTGGATTTTTTATTGGAATTGATAGAATTTTCGTTGGAATTAGTACACAATTGCAAACAGTCGTTGGTATTGTATTTTAGTATTCTTTTAATATTTGTGAATATCAGCAAAATAACATTTACATCTTAAAAGTATTTTTGTAAGTTATGAGAATTCACAAGTCTCAAAAACTAGTAATACGAGATCTTTGTGCCAATGGACGCTTTTAATTAGAACATAATATGGATAAATTCAACAGATTCGACCGAAAGCCATTTGCCATAAGGAAATTGCAAGGTCATAGGAGAACTTTGTGCCTATGCACACTTTTAATTAGAAGGTCAAAATCTGCAACATAATATATCAAATTCAGTAGATTCAACTGAAAGCCATTTGCCATAAGAAAACTTCAGGGTCTTTTATTAAAAAAAATGAGATTATTAAAAATCATAATTGTTTAAATTATGTTTTGAGAATAGTGACACCAACTAATCTAAAGATATTCTCATCAGACACAACTTGATTATTCATAAGCACAGGAGAGTGGTTGGTGTACTTTTTGTTAGAGATTGCAGAGTATTGTGCTTTGGAGGCATTGAAATGGACAATGTTTGTGAGCATCAGTTTACCTTTTTACATGAGAGTTATCCATTATTTGTAGTCCAGGGTCCAGATTTGGTTATTAAAGATTGTAGAAATGAGAGATAATGGGAGGAAAAAACTGACAGCTTTAACATCCTCTTTTTGAATCTATAAATGGATTTTTCCCCTATACAAAATGTATCACCTTGTATTAATTTGTAAACAAATTATAGGTATTCTAAATCGAACTGATGTATTAATAAAAAGTATGACATTTAATTCTACTAAACTCTCTGCACATATTTGTATAACCAGTCAAAATACAGTTATTTGAGTACATTAACATTTTTTGCATGAATGGGTAACTGAAGTAGGTATCTACTGCCCTACTTTTTATATTCCTGGCATAGAATGAATGCTTTGAACATTTCAATGTCTTTTGTTCCATTCCTTAATTTATATATTACAAATTAATTATTTAAATTGAACATGGTAAATTTAAACATTCAAATTATGAGTTAAAAACTGAGCTGAGTAGGTACTATTGTTTAAACCCTGGAAAGATTTTAAAAGGCATCTTTTTTATTTTAACTCAAAGTCCTCAATTTAACAAGCAATTATTTAAAATTAATTAGATACATTGCAGTAAATAAAACAATAGTTTTAAATAATTCCTATAAATATACAATTACTTTGTCGTCCATGCATTTCATCCAAAGGAACATAAATAATATTTTCCGTTATTCAAAAATTAGAAAAACAGAATGCCATTCTAAAAATAAGTTCTTTCTTTAGAAGTTTTTTTGCTTATATAGGTGCATAATGTGATGATATCAACAGTTTTACAATATGTTGGAAAATAATTTTGATAATAAGGCTTATCGCAAGCGTAAAATTATTATTGAGTATTCAAATATATATATTTTTTTGTTCATTAAATCTATTATATTTAAAAATAAACGACTTACATCTTTTCTTTTCTTGCCTCTTTTTTTCTCAGCCATTTTTGTAATTATAATTTATTTTGACAAACGTGACATAAAATGAAATTGACTTATGACATATTAAGACAAATGACAAAAGCAGGACAGGTCGATCCTGTCGGCAATTTACGGAACATAAAATGGTTTTAGCGCCACCTATGTATGATCAATTGATTTGTCCGTAGATGGCAGTGTAGAATAGTGACTTTAAAGTCACTGTAGTGTAGAATATATTTTTTTATCCGGTATACTAACTGGATTCTTTGAAATAAAGATGAGATGCTTAATTATATTTGCAAGTGCGAGAAATAAAGAGATTCTTTCATGAACCGTTATAGTGGGCTGCCGCGTACTGTTCTACCTCTGCATGTGCGAGACTTATATTAAGGGTGGATTTGGGTTTAGTGTTGCAGGGGTAATAAACCACAATAAATATTGCGAATTTGCAAATATTTTTTGGAATACGAAAACTTGATACTTGCATCTGTAAGGGTCGATTCCACCGTTGTGTTATCCGAAGTTAAAATTACTAAACGAAGATTAAAATGATATTGTTAATGTAAAAATGTCATTTTAATCTTCGTTTATGACTGATTCCACCGTTGTGTTAAACGAAGTTTAAAATGACATTTTTACATTAACAATGTCATTTTAATCTCCGTTTAACACAACGGTGGAATCGGTCCTTAGTGATTTAAACTTAGTTTAACACAACGGAGGAATCGACCCCAAGCCCGCCAAATTTGCAGATAAGTTGCCGTCGTATTTGCAGATCTGCAAAGTTGCAGGCGTTCTGTAATCTCACCCTTAACATACTGTATAAGGAGTTGCGGAACATGCACATTACAGGTGAGGACCATACCCCAGTATAATTAATAATTAGGCATTCCAAACAAAATGGCTACCAGTGGGTTTTGACAGGTTATGATATGGCAACCCTGTAGGCCTGGTGATTTGACAAGGTCAATGAAATAGATAGTTACATAGATTGATCACCCATATTTTTCAATATAAACATAAGCTTATGCCTTATATTCAAAGGCTAAATATTGGTTTGTGAACACATTTTAGCAAAATCGATTCTGATTAATGAGCACCTGCGAGGCATGGTCGCTCGCAAACGACCCGCTTTGAGCAATCTATATAACTATATATATTGACAATGTCAATCACAACCACAACAGAGGGGGCTCACATACTTTGATTTTCTTTTACTATACGGAGAATGGTCGCACTGCGCAGCTTTCTGAGTGCCTTTTAAAAGGAGATAGAAAACTCCGCCATTTTGAACCCTTATTACGTGTTGCCTACATCTTGGCGCAATATTTTTAATAGGTGCGTTTTAATCATCCGCTTCTGCTTCGGAATTGTCGGTTTTCTTTTTTATTCTGACAGGTTAAAACGACTAAACCGACAATTCCGGAAGCAAAAGCGGATGATTAAAACGCACCTGATATTTTGCTTGCTGCTGTCAGTGTCAGTGAATATTATTTTTGAAGTCACAGTTTATTGCTAAAGAATCAGTTAGCTCACACGGACCAGTTGAAAGTTCCAAAATAACATCCACTCCCGGGGACCTATTTTCAAAGTATGTGAGCACTCATTTCTCTCAAGATTCTCATCAGAAATGTTATACGTCAATGTGGAAACGCTGTATTTAAAGACATCGAGGATTAAAATTCTTAGGAGAATTTTAATTATCTCTAAATAAACCGAGAGAAACAGTCAGTGAGTTCACACTGGCCCTAAAAATACGGTTTTACGTTGACGTATGACATTTCTCTTGATGGAAATGAATTCTCTCGAGTTTGAAAATAGCCCCCCAGGGATACAAATTCAGGATACGCAGAAGACTGCTGTTTTATTATAGGCGGTTGTCATATATTGTATTATCCGAGTTGCACAGTGTATAAACTGAAATATTGAGATCAAAAGTGCCGACGCAGAGTGAGCGATCTGATTCTTTAGTTATAAACTGTGTCACAGGGTTCAAAATGGCCGCGCCCTATGTTGGGCATGTCGGACCTCTCTCTTGCCTCGTATAGTAATCAAATGCTGCGTTTGAGAATCCACATCGGATGCATTTTTTACATCTCGAGCGTTTTTTTATCCACATCGGACACATATGTCCCATTACATTTACGTATACTGAATCACGTGATCAAAGATTTACTACATCTCAGATGCATCCGATGTGGATTCTCAAACGCGGCAAATGTATGTGGGGGGGGAGCTATTTTCAAACTCGAGAGAATTCATATCTCTCAAGAGAAATGTCATACGTCAACGTAAAACCGTATTTTTAGGGCTCTTAGGGCCAGTGTGAACTCACTGACTGTTTCTCTCGGTTTATTTAGAGAGAATTAAAATCTTCCTAAGAATTTTAATCCTCGATGTCTTTAAATACAGCGTTTCCACATTGACGTATGACATTTCTGATGAGAATCTTGAGAGAAATGAGTGCTCACATATTTTGAAAATAGGTCCCCAAGGAGAAATGTCATATGTCAACGTGGAAACTGTATTTTGAAAACCAGTGACTACCTCATGACTACTCACTGACCTTTTCTCTCGGTTTATTTCGAGAGAATTCATATTCTCAGGAGAATTTGACCACGTGATTAGGGGCGTGGGTACCCTTCCTCCATGTGTGTACCCATAACCGATGTGTGTACAAGGCCAAGTCACATACTACCTTTCTCTCGATAGAGCACTCCTTTCTCTCAATAGAGCACTCCTTTCTCTCGAGTTTGAAAATAACCCCCCTGGTCAATGAACTCCATTGCAACAGGCTCACCATGGAGGAAGGATAATTAAGGCTCACCATAGGCTCACAGGGTTGCCATATCTAAATGTCAGTTCCCACGTGTCAGCAGTTTGACAGGTCGTTGGTATGCCTAATACTTTTTTCCGCTTATTTCTACACTGAGAAAAGTAACTTCAAATTATCTTGCCCCTCTGTATGTTTCAATAAAATATCACACAATAAATGAAAGATGAAAACTAAGTAATATAATAAAAATGTATTAAGGAGGTCCTTTCGCCACCAATGTTAAATAAAAAATATTAGATTATGACTAAAATTTTTTTTTTCTAATATAAAGTCCTTATTTATCTAATAGTGAACTTTTAACTATACCTTACCTTGCATATTTTTGAGAATTTTTTTTTAAAATGTGAGTATTTGTACAGTGTCTTACGAGAAAGTAAGACCTCAACAACAATTCTCGAATTATACTATTATTTATATTGATTAGATGGAGTAGAAAAAAACTAAAAATAAGGTTTTTGAAATATTTAGGTTTTGTTTTTTACAATGAAATATATAGGTTACCGTGGAATTTATTGAGAAATTAATATCAAAAAAAAATTCTAGTAACCTAGTTGAAAATTTTTTAATATTAATTTCTCAATAAATTCCACGGTAACCTATATATTTTATTGTAAAAAACAAAACCTAAATATTTCAAAAACCTTATTTTTAGTTTTTTTCTACTCCATCTAATCAATAAATAATAGTATACCTAATTATAATTCGAAAATTGTTGTTGAAGTCTTACTTTCTCGTAAGACACTGTACAAATACTCAAATTAAAAAAAAAATTCTCAAAAATTTGCACGGTAAGGTATAGTTAAAAGTTCACTATTAGATAAATAAAGACTTCAACTATTAGAAAAAAAAAATAATTTTAGTCATAATCTAATATTTTTTATTTAACATTGGTGGCGAAAAAGGATCTCCTTAAAATGTACATTACAATCAATCAGATAATTAACCATCATTATAATAATAATACTCTCCCCAATTCACCCCTTTACGAGTGAATTTTAACCCCAAAAGCTGAGCTTGTGCGGGGAAAGGGATGGCTATTATTATTATTTGCCGTGGCGCTCCGGGGCGACTTAAAGATGATTGATGGTGCCATTTGACTTACAGGTGAGAAAAACCCGGAAAACCTCACCGACCATCATTTAATCCATCGACAGTTTGACGTATTTGCCGCTTATTTACGGACATGCGTAGAAAAATATGGAACCCTCAAAAACAATGAACTGTCGCTACCGTATTATTATTTATACTGGGAGCATACTGTCGCTCATCGCGCATAAATCTGTGTTGATTAATGCACTGAAGCAAGCAGAAGTCAGTCGTATCGATGCTTACCGACAGCGGTCTCTCTCACATACTTAATCAGTGGGTATCTCTGTTATGTGCATATATCCTTCCTCCATGGTGCATATATGTCGTAGCCAGATTACAAAACCAGTCGTTTTATAAATTGCCTAGGCGTCTCTGCCTAGGCGTTTTATAAATAGCGGCGTGTTAGCAGCCAAATTGTCAAATTTTCGTTTACCTTTCTTTTCTTTACTATCTGGCTAGCCGGATTATAAAATGTCTAGGTGTTTTATAAAAAGGCCAGAATTGTCAAATATTTAAGATTATCATCTGTTTGACATTCCGGCGGGTAATAAGTTTCAGTAAAACACTGCCCAGACAATAACACACCAAATCCCAGTAAAAATCCACAGAATATCTTTTGTGGATATCCAATATATCCACAGGACATCAGAAATATTCCATGGATCTAATATGGATATCCAAATGTCCGTCTACATCCAGAATATAGAAGATATCCTAATGGATATCCAGCAAAATATCTAATGGTTATCTTCCAGAAAATACAAGAAATCCCAAAGATATCCACAGAATATATTTTGTGGATATTTAATATCCAATATGGATATCCAACCAAATGTCCGTCTACATCCCAGGATATAGAAGATATTCGGATATTCAGCAACATATTTTATCTTTAGTAGAGGTGGTTCATAAGTAACCAATGCTTATTGAATAACGTCAAAAGAAAATAGCAGAGATAAAAAATATTTTTAACACTCAAAATATTTTCAACACTGCCTTTGATTTTGCCCACTAAGGAGAAAGTCATCCTTATTAGGACTCTTCAGCAATAAATGGAAATTCTCGACTCCAGTCTCTAATGGAGTCTGAATATAGTATA